GGTTGAGGTCTTACCTCATAATTTTGTTTTGTATTTCCCTAATAATTGGTGATGTTGAGCATTTTTTCATGTGTTTTTTGCCATCTGTATATTTTCTTTGGAGAATTGTCTAGTTAATTCTTTAGCTTATTTTTTGTTTTATTGTTTACATATAGAGCTTCCTGAGCTGTTTCTGTATTTTGGAGTGAATCCCTTGTGGGTTGCTTCATTTGGACATGTTGATATTTTCCAGCATTTTGACGGTTTTGTTGTTTTGTTTATGGTTTCTTCAGTGCTGAACCGTTGAAGTTGAATTATGTCCCATTTTTGTTTGTTTTTACTTTCATTTCTGAAGACGTGGATCCAAAAACTATTTTTGCTTTTTATGTCTAACAGTGTTGTGCTTATATTTTCCTTTAAGTGTTTTAGAGTATTTGAACTTACACTTATATCTTTAATTCATTTTGATTTCATTTTTATGTTTGGTGTTAGAGAATGTTGTAGTTGCATTCTTTTACGTGTAGCTTTCTACCACTGTCCTTGAAGAGCCTGTCTTTTTCCATTTTGTATTCTAGCCTCCTTGTCGTAGTTTAAGTAACCGTATTTTGGTGGGTTTATTTCTGGGGTTTCTGTACTGTTTCATTGATCTATATTTTTGTTTTTGTGCCGTACCATCCTGTTTTGATTACTCTAGCTTTGTAGCATAAACTGAAGTTTGGGAGTCTGATTCCTCCAGCTCCCATTTTTCTTTCTCAGGATTGCTTTGGCCATTTTGTGTCTTTTGTTTTGGACCCTGCCTCAAGCCTTTGCAATTTTCTCCTGCTATCAGGAGCAGAGTGGGTGGTATAATGCATGGTAAATAATGATTTCCCTTCTGCAAACTCGGTCTACATTGGTTTACTTCCTGAAGGACTCTGTCTTCCAGCTCAGGAAGAGTGTTGGGTTTTCATCTTGTTTTTGTGTAACTTCTTGGACTTCATGATTTACAGGTTTCACCATATACCTTTTCATTCCTTCTGATACACAAGTAACATGTTTCATCATAGCCTGGCCTACGTGATCCTCATAGTCCCAGTGTGGCTCATGATCTTGCATTGTGTTACCACTCACTTGATAAATTTGGTGGTGCGGATTGGTGGTCAGTAGGCCATCTGTGTGTTTTTTGTCCTTTTCAGTATACACTCCATGTCGTTCAGGGTACAGCAGTGGGCCAGAATAACTATGATATCCTACCAGGTCAGGGAGAGTGTTAATCCCAGCCTGATAAATTTGTCCCTAAGCTTTTCAGGATTCTCTGAGAACCTGCCAAATCGCTCCTTACAGATTTCTAGGTCCCGCAGTGAGAAGGGGACATGCTGCACTTAGTAATTCTCCATTCTCATCAGTTTCTTCCCAGAGGTGGTAAAAGCCTGGTGGGGCAAAAGTGGGGGCTGCCTTTGAGCGTGATTGGAGCCCCACTGGGGAAAGCCCCGGGGCTCTGATTTTGTGGTTTCTGATTTGATGGGGTAAGGTGGGGGTGCGGGGCTGAAGACGGTGAAGGGGCAGAAACGGGAGACGGAAAAGGTGGCTCAGTGTGCTGATGGCTAGTGGTGGTTGAAAGAGGGGTCTGGATCTAAACCTTCTTGGAGAGACACAGAAATAGAGGCTAAACACATACGACAGGAATCCCTCAGACCAGAGTCTTGACAGAGTTTTATAATGGCCTGTGCTTATGGGACTTCCCCCATTTTGGGGACTGTTTAAAAAACAGGTCCAGTTGTAAAATGGTGTTAAAGTTAAGGGATTCATTCTGTGGCCACTTTGCCGGGTCACCCAAGGCATATTGGGGTCATTCTGTGTTGAAAGAGAAAATCAGCTTATTCTTTTTTAAACCGCCTCATTTAAATCGTACCCAGTTAAGAATGCAACCCCGAGGATAGTCTTTTAGGATTCCCTGGGTGTTTTTCATGTTTACATATAAATTTGGGGCTAAAACTGGAGCTCCCAGGGGCCAGATGGAGCTGAGGCCTTGCGTAACAACCAAGGGGGGGTCACAGAATTTCCTCCCCAGAGTTCGTGACACAAAGGAGGAGCCCCCAGGATGAAAGGAACAGGAGTGTAGGTGTAAGAATCAAGGGAGTGGTAAAGGGAGGAGGGATAGAAAAGACAGAGAGAGAGAGATTGCCGTTTCAACCTGTCCCCAGCAGGTGTCTATTTAGGCACCAGTCTGCGCACTTTCAGAAAGGGCCAGTGAAGGAGGGAGCACCCTGTCCACTGCCCACTGGGGTGATTAATCCTGGGAAACAACCATTTGTACGTCTCTGTGGGATTGTGATCCACAGGTGGGACTTCTATGCATGCGTACAATTTATACATCATACGTAGGACTCTAACCCTCAGGTAGGATTTGCACCCACAGGTTTTCATAGAAATCTGCCTTGGCCCTTTCCTGATGGGATTTCTCTTGGCGGCAGGAAAATAAAGGTGAGGATATTGTGATGATTGTACTTGCAAAAACTATAGGATATGAGGGTTGAACCTCTATCACTCTCAGAAATCTCCTGTCCGGGAGAGCCTGCTGGACCAAGACCTGCACTGCTTGAGGCGAGCCTCTCCCACCTCTGTTTGTCATCCATCAAGGTGAGTCGTTGTTGGCCAGAGGGAGCATGGTCTCACAAGCTGAGAGGAGTGGTGCTGTAGCTGCCCGATGTCCACTCTGTTGGAACAAGAGGACAGAGAAAGGGGAAGTAGAGAGCTATCAGGAGAGGGAAAGGGAAAACCATGAAGGAAAAAGGACAAAGGGGAGGGGAAAGCGTTGCCTGAATGATGGTATTGAGACTCTCAGGGGCCAGGAAGGCAGACTTACCAAACGTGGTTATGCTGAAACAAGAGGTTCAGGCGGCAGCTTGTCACCTACGGGGAAAGTGCGTTTGTTGGTTCCAGAGGTGCCTGGATTCTCTCCCAGGGAGGGGGCAAACGGCCTCATAGGTGTCCGGTGGAGTTGCCACCACGTACGTTACCGACCCAGATTCTTGGACTCTTCAGTGAACAGAAATTGATGAGGCCAGACGAGAAATTCAGGCAAGGCTTTATTGGGACTCATGCTGCAGCACACGGGAGCAAAAAGAACAGGTTGCCTTGCTTGCTCCCTGAAGCGGGGCTGGGGGGTGAGTTGGTCCTTTAAATGGGGTGAGGGTAGGGTCAGATCCATGGTTCAGGTGGTAGGGGTGGCTTAGGTGGTCTGCCCACCCTCTTGGTGGTGTCGTGGGCAGGAATCGTGAGTAGTGCACTCCTTTTGCTCCCAGCAGTTCAGAAGTGGCAGTTGGCTTTTTGGTCTTTTTGTATATTGTTCATAATTTGCCCCATTTGCAGGTGCATAGTTTTTAGTCCCTTATGGTTTCTTTGTATTCTTTTGCTCAGGAGATGTTTGTCCAGGTGTAAGCACTGCACCAAAGGGTGCCAGGTCCCACCCTGTCTCACTAGTTCTTGCTGTGTGGCCTTGGACACCTCCTGGAAGTCTCAAAACCTATTTATTTTAAGGATGCTGTGGTGAGGATTAAAGGTGGTTTCCATGTGACTGAGTGGATTCTGTAGGGCCTTTGGGGATACTGACATGCATAGTACACTTAACCCTTGAACAACACCAGCTTGAGCTGTACAGGATCCACTTACATGTGATTTTTTTTAATAAATAGTACTACTGGATCCCTGGTTTGTTGAATCTGCAGATACGGAACCATGGTTACAGAGGGTGGGTGAACTGTAAAGTTGTATGTGGATTTTCCATTGCACAGAGGGTTGGGATCCCTAACCCCTATAGTTATTCAAGGGTCAACTGTATATTCTGGATGATATAATTTCTGGGCTAAATGCTATGAAAAAAATAAAATTGGGTGATGTAGAAAAGAATGTGAGCAAAAGGCCTCACCGAGGGGGTGACATTTGAGCTAAATGAAAAGGAGTCAGCCATGGGAACATCTAGTGAAGAACATTCCAGGTGGGAACAGCCAGTGCAAAGGCCCTGAGGTGGGAACAAGCTTGAGTTTGAGGAATATCAAGAAGGATACAGCAGAGTGATGGATTTCAGATGTTTAAGAAGTAGAGCCTAATGTCTTGCTTTGGCCCATTTGGGAAGGAGGGGCACAAGGGTTCAACAGCAGAGGGTGGGTCCTAAGCTGGACCACTCCCTCTCTAAGGGCAGCTGGTGCCATGCATCCTCACATGAACTTGTGTGACCTGTACTCCCTTATGGAGAGAGGAAGGAGGATCAAAACTTTGCATTGGCCTAAGTGCTTCAGACACGTGCTTATATTTTCATTCTCATGTGCACTGTGCCAGGTAGGAACCATTGTTATTCCTGCTTTACAGATGAGAAAACTGAGGTCTGAAAGGGAGCATTCCTTTACCCAAAGTTGTAAACTTAGTAATAGAAGTATCAACCTTCAACCTATGTTCCTTCACTGACCAGCATGGGTACCTGCAGGTATTGGGGGTGTCTCTGTCCCCTTTGGGGACTCTCAGAGCCCTCAGGGCACTGGGCTCCAGTTGTCCATCACTCCTAATTCGTGATGCCAGCAGATCAGTGGTGGGTGCTTGTCCCACATTTGCTAGATGAACCTGCTGTGGGTAGGAGTCTTCAGGGGGTGGAGGAGTGGAGATGCACAGGGCTCCCTTGCATGGGCTTGCCATGTGGGACATCACTGGAGGTGAGCCTGAGGAGGCTTGTCTGGATGAAGACACCAAGGCCCTGCAGACATGAGTAGCAGGGTTCCCAGGGTACCGCACTACTGGAGGTGTGCTGTTGCCTGGGCTCCATCACCAGGTAGATCGTCTAGGCTGGTCCATGTGGGTCACTCTGCTCCTTCCCATGGCTGGGAGGTGCCCCCTCTAAATATAGCCCAGTGTGCTGAGCTCACGCCTATTTTCAGCCCAGGTTGGGAGGCAGCCAGGCCTTCCCCAGGCTCTCAGAGGAGCCACTGCTGCGTCTATCTGGTCCTGGTACTAGGCACTCTCATCGACCCTCTGCCTGCCCAACACCCACCATGCCGGAGGAGGCCCAAGAAGGTAGGAAATGACTGTGAGGGAGGGTAAGGCCCCAATGCTGTGACCCTGTGGACCATGGAGAAACCTGGCCCCTTTCCTACTGACCTCACTTGAGTAGTCATCAGTCACCATGTCCTAGGTCAAGTAAAAGTACTGGCCCCCTATGTGTGAAGGAAGGGCCTACCATGCCCCAAATGCCTCCTCACCTCATACCTGTACCCCCTGCTGAGGACACCAGGGAGGGGTTGGGGGCAGGGGAGGGTCAACTACAGGCTGTGCCCAAGTGGGTGTGGGCTGGGCAGGCTGGCCAGTTAAGCTCTTCCTTCAGGGAGGGCACTGGGACTGGGGGCAGGCAGTGGTTTTGCAAAGCATTTGGGCACATGACCCAGGGACTGGGAGTGGATAGGTTTCTTGCCTCCAGTGTGGGCCTGTGTGGCCCCAACTGGCTAAAGGTTGGGGTCTCTTGGCCTGGCCGGACTGACTTCTAGTTAAAGACTTTGGTGGCCACTTTCCTAATTGACTCACAGCATGCAAGATGTATGGAGGCTCAGAGGCGCCAGAGCAGGGACCTGGTAAGCTTTAGGTACAGTGCTGGCCAGGATGCAGGACCAGCTGCACCAAGGCTCCAGCTTGGCCCAACTGGTCAACTCCCCCCATCACAGTTTTGACATTTTATACTGAATGGGAGGGGCCTGGCCCTGGGTGTGGGAGTGTTTGCTTCCTTTTGAGGGCTTTTTTTTTTTTGAATATTTATTTATTTATTTTTGGCTGCGTTGGCTCTTCGTTGCTGTGCGTGGGCTTTCTCTAGTTGCGGCGAGTGGGGGCTACTCTTCGTTGCAGAGCACGGGCTTCTCATTGCGGTGGCTTCTCTTGTTGCGGAGCACGGGCTGTAAGCGCCCGGGCTTCAGTAGTTGTGGCTCACAGGCTTTAGAGCGCAGGCTCAGTAGTTGTGGCGCATGGGCTTAGCTGCTCCGCGGCATGTGGGATCTTCCCGGACTAGGGTTCGAACTCGTGTCCCCTGCATTGGCAAGCGGATTCTTAACCACTGAGCCACCAGGGAAGTCCCCTTTTGAGGTTTTAAGGATGGCACTTACTATGTGTTCTTCCTGGAACAGAAAGAACTCAAGATCAATTTAAAAGTGTGGGAAAAACAGCCAAGTGCACAGAATTTAATGCAAACCCCAATCCACCACCACCCAGACATAACGACAGACAGCACTGGTTTTTGTTTTACACATTTTTGAGCATGTCAAAGGTCAGTTTCAAGCAAATCATGAAGGTTAAGGTACTATTCTGAAAGTGTTAGACCCAGAGAGCCCAATCACCCTTAAGTCTACCAGGAGGTATCCCGCCAATGCCCCTGAATTTGTTATCTAGCTTCCAGCTAGGCATCTGGAGATCTTAAGGGGCCAAGATTTTTTTTTTTTTTTTTTTAATTTGGCTGCATCGGGTCTTAGTTGCGGCATGCGGGATATAGTTCCCTGCCCAGGGATCGAACCCGGGCCCCCTGCATTGGAAGTGCAGAGTCTTAGCCACTGGACCACCAGGGAAGTCCCAAAGGGGCCAAGATTTTAAGGGGAGGGGTGGAAAGCACCACCAGAAGAAAATATAATTTTTAGAAATCACAAAATAAATACTTCACTGGGTCCAAAAATAAGTAAGTAAAATCACAAGAATGGTACACAGCCCCAGTGACTAAATGGGCAGAGGCTGTGAACTAGGAAGCCACACAGATATTGGTGAGGCTCCCCAAGCAAAGACCCCCAACAAAATTGGTCAAGAAAGGCCTTTTCTCATCTCCCAACTTAGCAAGTATATATGTGCACACTTATGTACATAAATTTTTTTCTATGGAGATGCCTGTTGGTGGCGATATTGTACTCTTTTGGAGGCTGTGGACAACTACTCCAGAGGACAATGTGATGATAGGTTAAAAGAAAAAGTCCCTGCTGTTTGACCCAGTAATTCTACTTCTGGGAATCCATCGTTAATAACTATTGGGAAATTGGGGGAAAGCCTTTATACTCAATGACGCGTGTCCTTTTCCAGGGGTTATTAATTTAGGAAGGGGATTGGAAACAACCTAAATGCCCAGGCAGCCTGGAAGAGATACCTGAGGGGAGACCTCAAAGGCAAGTGGAACAGTTTGCTAACAAAGACGGGTCTCCGCTCATGATGTTGAGTGAGAACAGCAGGGTTCACAGCAGAATCACACTTAGTATGTAAAAGGAGGCAGAGCTGAGGCCAGGAGCAAAAGGCAAAAAGCTGGCTAGAATAGGGCTGCTTCTGCTGGGGACCGGGAGAAGGCCCCAGGCACAGGGTCTGCAGGGAAAACTGATAGCAGAAGCAGGAATGAACTTCATGGGCTGTGGGTTGAGTTCTCCAAGGCTGATAAATTCTCTAGAAACGAGCAAGCAGAGAGGAATGCCTGAAAGTCCCTGAGGTGCTTGGAAGGAAACAAATGTAAGTCAAGCAGCACCTTCTGCTACTGTGGGTGAAACAGGTGTGCGCAGTTTTCACATTGTCTTGCTTCCAAATCACGGGTCACTCCTGAGTTGGTTTTAGGGGATCAGGAGCCAAATGCCCCTGCTACCTCTTCTGAGCCCCTGCTGCCGCTCGACGCCATCTAGAAGGGAGGGCATGACCTGCTGGCTGAATCAGCCCCACGCTGCCCCTGCAGACACCGTGGCACCGACAAGGAGCAGGGCACCACTGGCTCCTAATCATGTGCAGGAGGTTCGCCTACACCGGGTGGAGTCCATCAGCGATCTACACAGTGGAGGTGAAAGGGTGCAGAGGGGTGGGACCCATGGACTGGGAGAAGGGAGGAAAGCAGGCGCACCTGCCGCCCTCCTGATCCCCCGTTTGCCCTGCAGGTTCACTGTGGCCCTACCTGGCTGAGGAGGCGCAGCCATGGGATGAGCTGCTGGGCATCCTGCGTCCACCGATGTGCACCCAGACCGGCTGCCGTCCCGTGCACAGCCGCGGCAGCTTCCTGCTGCTGCTTGCACTGCTCGTGCTCACCTGCCTGGCGTTGGCTGTCCTGGCCGTCTACCTGAGTGGTGAGGAGGGCGCAGGAAGCCAGTGGAATGGAGAGACCGAGGCAGTGAAGGGCTGGGAGGGTCGGGTGTTGTGGGGTTGCATGTGGTCTGATAACCCCCCCCCGTCTTAGTGCTGCAGAGCGAATCCCTACGCGTTCTGGCACACACACTGCAAACGCAGGAGGAAATGCTGCTCAAACTCCGGCTCGCCAGCCTCAGCCAGCTGCGGAGGCTCAACTCGAGTGAGGCCCGAGCACCCAGTTGAGATGCCACTTGGACCTGGGGCCTGGGGGTATGTGCAGGGGGGAATAAAGTGGCCGCTGGTAGCTTTCCCCTCTCCCACTACTGCTCCACACTACTTCCTTAGTGAGGTTTTCGTATAAGAGCCTGATCTGACCCCGCAGCTGTCTGCCTTTCTTGCCTTCTCAAGCTAGGCCTAGCCAAGCCTTCTGGTGCCAGAGCCCCACTTGGTGTGGCCCAAGGTCAGAGGAAGCGACACCAGCCTCCTGGCTCCTCTTGGGGCCTGTCAGCACCCTCTGGTGTCCTCCAGATAGCAGGTTCAGGAGTCTAAAAATAGCTGCCTACCCTGGTCACCCAAACTCTGCTGGGCCTCCCAGTGGGGGTCCAGCCTCTGCTCTTGAAAGACAGGCTGGGCTCTGAGTAGGGGGAGGAGGGCCCCTGGGGAGAGATTATTTTGGAGAGCAAAGGTGAGATGGAGATAGGGAGGCCCAGCTGGGCCCAAGCCTGGGTTGGTGGATAGGGAGGGCAGGCAGAAACACCCAGAAGCCAGGGCCACAGAAGACTGCACATTGTTTAATTATCTCTAAAATCTTTAAAACTCAGCATATAAATCCACTCCAGGTAGCCTCACCGCCCCACGTTGTAGTGGCAGTTGTCCAGATACTATCACCTCCCCCCCGAAAGTTGGTCATCCCAGGGGAGCAAGGCCTGAGAAAGGGACAGCCCTCTTCTGCCTGCAGCCCTGAGACAGGGCAGGAAGTGGCCACAGGGCCGGCACAGGGGCAAAGCGTGAAGGTCCCAAGTGGCCTGGCCTCCAGCCACCCGCCCCCATGTCTGTTTTTGGTTTTGTCATTAAAAAAATAAAGCGACAATGCCTGGCAGGGACCAGGTGTTGCACTGTCTTCTGTTAAAAATACAGGCAAGGATGTGGACAGTCTCCTCTTCGGCTGGTCCTGCCTCACAGGATGTCTGCCCGCTTGTCCCGCACGCGGCTGCGCGCCTTGGTCCTGGCTTTGAAGGCAGCAGCGTTGTACAGGTGCTGGGGTGGGACAAAGAGTGAGGGTCTAGTGAGCTGGGAGGAGGCAGCCCAGGGCTTCTCCTCCAGCCCCTGCAGAGCTCCAGGCCACAGGAATGGAGAGAAGACAAAGGGGCAAACCTTCTCAAAACGTGAGATTTTGCAGGCCTTCAGGGCAGTGGCATCCAGCACCAGCACAGGGCCCAGACCAAAGATGTCACGGAGTAGCTCGTTGTTCTGGGGGCAAAGAAGGCAGTGAGCTCAGGCCAGTCTGAAACAGCCAAGCGGGGTACCCCTTCCCCGTCCGCTTCCCCACCTGGAGGTGGTGGTGCATGCCGGAACCCAGAGCGTCCTTGAAGGCAGCATAGACCCGGCGCCGAGCCCAGCTGTCCACATAGAGCACCTCGAGCCCGAAGCGGACTGTCTCCTCCTCACACTCGCCGCCCTGCAGGGTAGAGGGGCTGTGACTGGGCTTGGCGGCTATGCCTAGGGGTGCACCCTCACTAGGACGCATCCCTTCTCACACGTACCTCAACAGAGTGCAGCACGGCCCGGAAGGTAGAGCGTTGGCGCCGGCGGTCAGCCTTGGCCCGATACTTGTTGCTGTCAGTGGCCAGAGTGCGCAGCGTGCTGCAGAGGGCCTCCATGTCCTTGTAAACAAAGTCCTCCTGCAGTGGGAGGACGTAGGAGCAGAAGCCTGAGCTCTGTTGGCTTTTAACGCAGTGGGGTCACCCAAACCCTTCCTTTCACCAAGAAAGTCATTTTCTTCTCTGCCTGACCCTCTCCTGCATCCCTTCTTGGCCCCTGCCTGCTCTGGACACCTCCGCTAAGGGGCCCCATCAGAGCACTTGGCCTCTGTGTTGGGGCTACTTCCCCTCCATAATGACCTAAGGCTACCTTGTTTTCTGTGGCATCCCCTGCACCCAGCCTGAGACGGGCAGGTGGTATCAGCAGGCACCCTCCCCTGCGCCCCCCCACCCCCCGCCATCTCTCACACCTCAAGGTCCCGGGTGAGCTCAAAGAGCAATGCGATGGTCTCGCCGGCAGCCATCCGCAGGTTCACACTTTCACTGGACAAGAGCTGGGGCAGCCGGGGCAGCTGCCTGGGGAAGGGGCAGGCTGAGCCATGTGTGTGGGCTGGGGGCCTTTCACCCTTCCCCTCCCACTCCCAGTGGGCAGTCACCCCTACCTGTCCAGGATGCGGCTGATATGGGCGCTGGGGCAGATGGTGAGTAGCAAGGCCCAGGCCTGCAGGGCAGCACAGAGCAAGCCCTGAAGGCTGACAGGGACCACTGGGGCTGTGGAGCCACCCACACCACAGGACCGGCTGAAAATGCCTTCCAAGCAGGTGAGGCAGGAGACCAGGTCCTAGGGGCACAAGGAGGCAGGGGAGTGGCTCAGGGGCAGAGCTAGGGCCTATGTGCTCTACTGCCTGTGCCTGAAGGCCACTTACCTGTACATCGGTGGCAGCCACGTAGCAGCCCAGGCCAAGAGCAGAAGCGCACTGCTGGGAGGAGGGCAAAGCCAGGCCGTGGTCAGAGGGTGAGCCTGGGTTCCCAGCCACGGGGCTCACCCTTGGAGCAGGGGAGCCTAGAGGCAGGTGGAACCCGTGTCTCTGCTTAGGGATTAGGTGAAGGAAGGGTGTCACAGGACAAGGAACACTCACGTGGAGCCGGGCAGCAGGGCTAGCTGTGCTGTCACTGAGCACAGAGACCAGCAGGGGCTGCAGGCTGTGGAATAACTCCTCACCCTTGGGTCCAGGACCCAGCTGAATGCACAGCAGGCCTAGCACAGCAGCGGCAAGGGCCTGTTCCTCGCCCTTCCCTGCAGGGATGCCTTCCAGTCAGTCAATGCAGCAAGGGCCAGTACCCAGCCAGTTCAGGCCCCCCAGGTGCGCCCCCAGGCCCAACCTTTCTTGAGGCACTTTTCCAAGGCATCAGCCAGTGTGAGGCGGCGCTCCAGCAAGAAGTCGGGGAGTAGGTGCGCTGCTAGGGCCAGACGCAGGCTCTCAAGAGCACCCTGCCGGGTCTTGGCACTGGGGGAGGAAGAAAGGGGTTTTGTGGGCCAATCCTACCTGGGTCACATTTGGCATGGGCTAAGCAGGGACACGGGAAGGGATTGGTTGGAAATCAGGGGTACCTCTTGTCTGTGAGGCAGTCCACATATTCCTTCAACTTCTCCTCAAGGTCTTCCTGCTGACCCTGCTCATCCACGGCATCCCCCCCTGCAAGGCCAGCTCGTCATCCCCGCTTCTTGCCCTAGCCCACGGAGCCCCACTGAGTCCCTGCCATATTCCCACCCACTCTCACCAAAGCTTTCCTCTGCTGCGGGGCTAAGAAGGCTGGGACATTCACTGGTGGTGCTGCGGGCCTCACTGGCTGCCTCATCCTCACTGGAACCTGAGTCAGCTTGGGTACTGCTCCGGGCACCTGGGGAGGGTGGAATGGGGCACATGGTCTGCCTTCATTGATGAGCGATGGCTGGGGTTACCTCACCCGGCCTCATGACCCCACAAGACAGAATGCTGCCCTTTCTCAAGGCTGGAGTGGGAGGCACAGAGGCTGGTGCCGGGGACTCTGAACCAGAAAGCAAGAGAAAGGGAAAGAAGTCTATCTGCTGGGGAGAGTCACACGCCAGGCCCAACCTAGGATATCCTGGCAGGCTTGGTGAGCAGATCCTCCCTGAGACTAGAGCTTGCTTTAAGAAGGAGACTTAGAGGTGGGCAGAGGTGGAAGGGGCTGCACAGGCCCTACCCAGGCCTGTGGCTCAGCCTGCAGTGGGGCATATCCAGGCGCATCCTGGGGGAGCTCAACCACCAGCCCAGATTACTCCCCAAAATGGCCAGGGCAAGGGTCAGGGAAGTCTGACAGAACCGGGGTTCAAATCCCAGCTCTACATCTTAACAGGGGTGTAACCAGGTCAGGTGCCTACTCTTCAAAGCCTCAGTTTCTCCGTTGCAAAAGAGATGAGAAGCACCTCTTCTGGGCAAGGTTAAGTGAAGACAATGACTAGACAAGTGACTAGTTACACTCTTCCGTGGGCCAACAAGCTCATCAGGTCACCCATCAGCACTGGGGGCAGAGGCCCAGCTCCTAGTGGATGTAGGTGAGTGCACCAGGCCTCAAGCATACTGTCTCCTGAGCCCCACTTGGTCCACTCCAGGCCTTCAGCCCTGGGTGGATGGACACACAGGCTCCTCCTGACCCTGGGAAGTGCAGAAAGCTGAGTGGCCCCTGACTTCATGAGCCCTTGAAAACAGGTGAACACAGGGGGCTGTGAGGGTCAGCAGAGCTGGAACACTTATGTGTAAGGGCAGCTGCTGCAGCAGGAGCCCCAGGCAGGTTCTGGTCACCAGGCTGGCCCTACTTCCAGGAACTACGTACATACTCCCTGTGCCTGCCGGACAAAGTCCATTACACACTGCTCACTCCTCTCTCACTACCCTAGCTGACCAAAGCAGCCCAGCCTTCCCTCATTTGTTTCACCATGCCATGGTCCCTCCAGATATCAGGCCCTCGCCCAGCGTGTTGCCACTAAATAGTGCTCTCCTCTTCACCTTCTCAAGACTCACCCAGAAGCCCCTCCCCTGAGGCTTCCTTGGTTCCTGTCTGGGACTGACACCACTCCATGAACTTGTCCCCCAGCACTAGGCCTTCTGGAGTATTGCTACTTTCTTCAATGTCCCCTTGTAACCAAGCAGGACCCTATGGGGTCTTCCTGGGACAGACCCCTCCACCATATCCTCTGTTGTAGTTCGTCTCTTAAGTTCCTAGATAATAGTATCAGATGCACATTTCCTGAGTTGTTTTAAAGGTGCCAAAACCACCACCAAATGGAAGAAGTTAACTACGTGATGACCATGAGCACGTAGCCCCTACACCTACTGGCGCCTAAGGATTGATAATGTTAACACCATGATACTGCCCTGTTACCTCACCATCGACCAGTCAGAGAATTGTGCACGAGCTGATCACATTTGCTGGGACCCCTCTCCCTCACCTCGCCTTTAAAAATGCTTTATAGGG